GTAGTAATTATATCAAGTTATTATTTATCATCACATATTCATGACTTTAGTATAATATTATAATAAACAATAATAATTATGATTATTACACAGCAGCAGCAGAACGCTCCATTGATTTGAATGTAATTTCAAAACATTCTACCGGCCATTATTTCTTGATAACCGACCTCTCAAAACAATAATGACCGCTGCCCTTTGGCAACACAACTTCTGCTTGTAATTCAGATGTGTAGATTACTCCACAAGTACAGTAGTTCTGGCCACTACGGAGCTAGCCACGCTCAATAAACGCAAATACCAATCAATCAACACATTTAAATGTCACACCCTGACGAAGGCGCAAGCCGACACGCGTTGGTGTGCTTTTTAATGTTTCTGGCCCATAATTAAAGCCATCTACTTTTGCAAATGATGAGTGCCTGGACCTGATTTTTCTCTGCACATTTAAATGTTAATTAGAGAATAAATTATACATATACATTCTTAACACTAGGAGCGCCCCTAGCGGTCAACTGACCATCACTCACTTTAATATGCTAATTAGTGTATTCAAAACAAAACGCCAGAAGTTTAAATTTTATGACTTTTACTGGGTACTTGTTGTTTATATTTTGGTGTGTATTGGTTTTGGAAAAAGTAAAGAAAACAAGATTTACACGCATTTTAACTTTTCTAAACCACAGCCCTTTCTGCTGCCCCATAGGGATACATGGCGCAGGGGCGACTGTTGTCATAGTACAATTTCCCGGGGGGTTTTCGCGCCTTATAAAAAGGTATCAATATGTTGTCATTAGACTCTAAAGGGACTTGAGTTTTTTTTAAATTATTATTTGGGAGAGAGAAAGAGTTTTGAATTGAGAGGAGTACAACATGAATAGAGCTGCAAGTACACGGAAGCCCTGACAGTGCTTCAAGACATTGAATGAGAACAGTCTGACGGAGGTGAGATGTCAGACTCTGAGGTGGAAAATGACAGCGGGGGGAACACCTATAATATTCTAAATCTGAACGTAAACCCATAGTGCATTCACGGCACGGACAGCAGTGTTGTAAGTCCAGAAGCAATAACGCACATGAGCCGCGTAATGCCAGCCATACGCAGGTGTCTGTGTGCGCGCTGTCGCTCCATTCTGCCTTTTCATTCATCATCAATTACATTATTATATTTATACATACAAGAAGGCAATAAAGCAGAATACAATATTGCAATAAAATAGAATAATTAGATGAACTATCAAGGCAGAGTGCAGAGAGAGCGCTGTGAGGCCTCTCGTCACTCACGGACACCTGCAGGAGGAGAGCGACTGTGGGTCAGAAGCGGCCCTCATCATATCAATAAGGATATCATTCTTATTTCATCCAGATAACACTGTGTGTTATTCTGCACAGAGCGCACTGATTATACTTTTGTTCTGATCATAAAGAGCACTGCTTGTCTCAAATAAATACAAATATATATATATTTGTCTTTCTAACGTGTCCCGTGTAAAATTGAAGATTTTACATTGATGATGGAAGCCTAGCTGATGATCTTGTGTCAATACAAAAACTATTATTATTATCTAGATAATATTTCCCACGGGGATTTCGGCTGGAAAGAGAAAACAGTCTGGAGATGACGTAGAAGTCGACGCATATAGCAGCGCGAAGACGTTATGGTCCCGTGCTTTTCTAAACTATCATTTATATTGTTTGAATTTACATATTGTTACTGAGTCAAATATAACATATAGTGACCGACCTTTTAGGTGTTTGCAAAGTTACAAAATAAATCTAGCCTGAAAAGTCATCGTAATTTTGATGGATCAGTACACGCACAATGTGTCGTCTTAGTCTTTTATTTCGGCTAGAATTACAATTACTTAGCATATTTAGACAAATAATTTACACAGTTTCATTATGATCACGATTTCCTTGCAACATCAAGTTCTGGTTTAGTGAACAATCAATTTGGCAAAAGGCTGTATCAGCGCAAAATACATAGCGGTCAACTGACCGCAGGGGGCGGTGCAAGGTATGTTTAGAGCACGGCGGTCCTAGTGTTAATGCACATGCACGGAGGTTTTCAGAATTATCTGTTAACGTTTTCATGACAAAAATACTGTTTTGATGTGACAAAAAGCAATTGCGATAAACCCAGACGGAGATTCCGGGACTTTTCAGGAACATTTGCAGAAGATCAAATTATGGATTTAGGTTGAGTTTATGTTTGGGTCACTCACCGCTGATGTTCAGAATTCTTTGTTCAGTTTTCATGCAGTTCCAGAGAGTTCTAGTTTGGAAGTTGCTAACCTAACTGTTACTAGCCTAACTGTTGCTAGCATAGCCACGGGAAAGCCTTTGGGAACTATTTTATTTGCTGTCATTAAATGAAACCTTTCGGCATTCCTAAGAGTGGACTGCCGAAAGGACCGCTTCGCCCTGTCGGTACTTATTTTCCGATAATGACCTGCGTAATATATATTATCCCTTACGTAACACATTTTGAAATATCCTGTATGGTATTTGATTTGTTTATTTCCAAATCTTATGGCGAGCTACCTGAAAGAGGCGAGCTACTGAAATAAACACACAACACATTTTTCTACATCAACAATACAGTCAGCATTAAAAAGGACCTTCTAAAACCCCAAAAACCCAATACTTTGATCCCGTTATGCAAATCTAACATAACAAACTCGATAAAAGAGACTCAGAAACTAAACTACAAAATAAAGCTGTATTAAGATGGAAGCACGCACAGACACAGCGTCAGTGAGAGAGCCGCATTCCAGATGAAATGTCTGAAGACGTGGAGCAGGAAGTATTTAACATCCACTCCGTGTCTCAGAGAGAAGTGTCAGTGCTCAGGCTTTACAGGCTCATAAGCCCCTCCACCACAGCCCCCAGAAGCAGCAGAACACAGGCCCAGGAGAGTGACGGCCGAGGCAGGGGAGCGGGAAAAACTGATTCAGACGACGATATTCTGCAATATTCAACTGTGTTTGGTCAAATCCTCTCAAGTGAGAATTAGCAGTAAATTGTTTAGGTTCATACACAGCAAAAAGTGATGAAAAATTAGTCAAAAATTGATAAAATTTGGCAAAATGTGTTTTCATTTGAGCATATTCTGAGTGAGCCGTAAAACTAGATTTGCCAGTGGGACAAAGTACAATTATGTTGTTTTAAAAAGATACAAGATATTTCTCGCTCGGAATAAGAAAATAAAGTAACAGCTCTTGAGAAAATACTTAATGGCTTTGTCCCGTTGGCAAATCTTGATATCCCACAGTCAAAATGTGCTCAAAATAAGTTAAAACCCACTCAATTCAAGCAATTATTACCTCAGATTTAATCATTTTTTTCAGTGTACTCAATTAGTATGTGATTTTCTGTTAGACTAACCTCATTTTTTTCCAGAGTTTTTCCAGACAGAACAAAATTAGTCAAAGATTTTTATATGACGTGCATAAGAACAGAGACCTCGTCACTTAGATATTAATGACACCAACGCTAAATGTATAGATGCTAGTTAGCAAGTGTGGGTCAGAATAAAGTCGAGATAATTGTTTAAGTAGCAAGACAGATCTGACCACAGTCTCCATGACATTATTTGATTCTGATTGCTTGAATATCCTTCATGTTAGTCTGAAACACGCAGGTCAGATTCCACACTATTGCCGTCGTAACTACTGCCAGTATTGGCTGACGGATGGAGGGGGAGAAGGCCTTTAGAGTGGCTGATCGGGTTTCCGTCAAAATAGGCAATATTTTCCCAACAACTTGGACTTGGAGCAGGCTGGTCCGCTCTCAGTCTAGCGGACGGGACGTGCCTGGACAAATCACAGTATGTGGTAGTAGTAGTAGTAGTTGTAGTAGTAGTAGTAGTAGTAGTAGTAGTAGTAGTAGTAGTAGTAGTAGTAGTAGTAGAAGCAGTGGTCGTCGAAGGAATAATAGTAGTAGTAGTTGTAGAAGAAGCAGTAATAGTAGTAATTAGCGGGAGTAGAAGTAATAGCACAAGGAGTAGCAGTAGTAGTAGTGGTAGTAGAGTGTACTAGTAGTAGTAGTCAGAGAGTGTGTACCTGTGTGTCTACGTGTGGCAGTGTGTGTGTACCTGTGTGTATACGAGTGACAGTGTGTGTGTACCTGTGTCAGCGTGTGTGTACCTGTGTTGGTGTGTGTGTGTACCTGTGTCACGAGTGTGTACTTGTGACAGAGAGTGTGTACCTGTGACAGAGAGTGTATACTTATGACAGTGTGTGTGTACCTGTGACAGTTCGTACCTATGACAGTGTGTGTGTGTACCTATGACAGTTCGTACCTATGACAGTGTGTGTGTGCACCTATGACAGTTCGTACCTATGACAGTGTGTGTGTGTACCTATGACAGTTCGTACCTATGACAGTGTGTGTGTGCACCTATGACAGTTCGTACCTATGACAGTGTGTGCGTGTACCTATGACAGTTCGTACCTATGACAGTGTGTGCGTGTACCTATGACAGTTCGTACCTATGACAGTGTGTGCGTGTACCTATGACAGTTCGTACCTATGACAGTGTGTGCGTGTACCTATGACAGTTCGTACCTATGACAGTGTGTGCGTGTACCTATGACAGTTCGTACCTATGACAGTGTGTGCGTGTACCTATGACAGTTCGTACCTATGACAGTGTGTGCGTGTACCTATGACAGTTCGTACCTATGACAGTGTGTGTGTGTACCTATGACAGTTCGTACCTATGACAGTGTGTGTGTGTACCTATGACAGTTCGTACCTATGACAGTGTGTGTGTGTACCTGTGACAGTTCGTACCTATGACAGTGTGTGTGTGTACCTGTGACAGAGAGTTCGTACCTGTGTCAGTGTGTGTACCTGTGTCAGTGTGTGTGTACCGGTGTCAGAGTGTGTGTACCTGTGTCAGTGTGTGTGTACCTGTGTCAGTGTGTGTGTACCTGTTTCAGTGTGTGTACCTATGATAACAGTGTGAGTGTGTGTACCTATGATAACAGAGCGTGTACCTGTGGCAGTGCGATGGACAGCTGCCTCTGCAGAGACTCCTTCTCGTGGCCCAGCTCTCTCAGCCTGAGTTGTGCGGTGCCCAGACAGTCCTGCGTCTCCCTCAGGTTCTCCAGCAGCCGCTCCCTCTCCGTTAGCATGTTCACCATCAGGGACTCCAGGTTACCCGTGCTGCCCCCTTCGTCTCCCCCGCCGCCGCCACCTCTGGGCTCCCGGCCGCTGAAGCCCCCGCCTCCTCCCATGGCACCCCCAGGACCCCCGCCCGTCCCCACGCCCGGAGAGGTGGGCCCGCCACCCGTCCCGCTGCGCCCATCCTCCGAGATGGTGGGCATCACTTCGCACATCATCATGAGACCGTGGCGTTCACTGGTTACCGAGACGACGACCCAGGAAGCAAATGTGCAAATGCCTCGTTATTCTTAAGTACGGAAAATAAATCATCACTTCTGCTCAAAGAATCTGTAGCCACTTGTTTTGGTCGTGTTTAGACTTTTACACGTTTGTTTTTCCCTGTGTGCTCCTGTGTTGCGTAAGTCCAGGCCTCTCTGTGGGGAGCTGGTCAGTGGGTGTCTGGGACTGGCACAGGAGCAGAGGGGGGAGGGCGATGAGGAGCAGAGGGGGGAGGAGGGGGAGGGCGATGAGGAGCAGAGGGGGGGAGGAGGGTGGATGCTACGTTATTGTTTCCACACAGCTCCTCAGTGCACCATCGGAGGGAGCTGCAAGAGACAAACAAGGGACAAGCAAATGTTAGGTCACTTTATGTCCAGTTCTGCTCCAGAGAGAGAGAGAGAGAGAGAGACAGGGGGAGAGAGAGGGAGAGAGAGAGAGGGAGAGAGAGAGAGGGAGGGAGGGAGAGGGAGAGAGAGAGAGAGAGAGACAGGGGGAGGGCGAGAGAAAGAGAGGAACTGCATGTGAAGAAATTAGAAAAGTAATATTCAAATTGCACATATTGAAAAACCACCATTGAAAAACATTCATACTTTCTCTTTCCATTTACTTTTTATATAAAATTATTACTGTTTTAAAGGATCAGTTGTAGTCATGGATCTATTATTTTAACTGGATAGGGTATTACTAGCTTGGAGCTGGAGAACCCATGTGCCGACTAAACCAGACTAAATTCACGTGGGCTACCCAGAAATTTTCCCCATAGAACTCAATATAAACTAAAACAACTCAACCTCAGCTGACAGAGAACCTGACAGAGAACCTGACAGAGAACCTACAGCGTTCATACAGATCAGATTTTGTGGGGATTTTAGTGTCCCTTATCATCCTGAACTTTTTTTCGTCTTAAATTCTTCGGTTTTCTTTAAATCCCCACTTTAAGTAGTAAGTAAGTAATCTTTATTTATATACCCAGGATCTTCTTGCTGAGAGGCGAGAGTGCTATCCACTCAGCCACCGTGCTACTTTAGTGCCACAATCACTGCCCGTATGGCTCTCGCTCTAACTCCCGCTCTGATGAACAGCTCTGATTGGTCAGAGCGCGGCCGAGCCCCTCTGTGCACGTGCGTGAAATCCATGTGAGACCCACACACGCGTATTTGGCGCAACGCATCATGGGAGATCATCCACTGCGCAGAACCGAGAGGATCAGACGATGCCGAAATACAGGCGAGTTACCCATGGATCTTTGCGAGTTCCAGACAACTTCCGCTAATCTTTTCGGCACCCATGCCGGCACAAAGCGCCACTGGATCAACGGGGCTTGGTTGTAGTAGGTTTAGCAGTAGTAATAGTAGTTGGTAGGAGTAGCAGTGGTAGTAGCAGTAGTGGAAGTTGTAGTAGTAGTAGTGTTAGAAGTAGTAATAGTAGTAGTTGTAGTGGTGGTATATTAGCGGTAGTAATAGTAATAGTAGTAGTTAGTAGAAGTAGTAGTAGTCGTAGTAAAAGTTTTAGCAGTACAAGTAGTAGTACTAGTTGCAGTAGTTGTAATAGTAGTAGTAGTAGTTAGCAGAAGTAGTAGTAGTAGAAGTTTTAGCAGTAGTGGTAGTAGTAGAAGTAGTAGTAGTAGTAGTGGCAGTAGTAGTGGCAGCAGTAGTAGTAGTGGCAGTAGTAGTGGTAGTGGAAGTACTTTGTGGAGATTGGAAACTGTGTCTCAGATCATATGGCCCTAACCTGTGGAGTACCACAGGGGTCGATCCTGGGACCTCTTCTGTTCAATCTCTACATGCTGCCGTTAGGTCAGTTAATACGCAGAAACGAAGTTTCCTATCATAACTATGCAGACGACACTCAGATCTATGTCTCACTGACTGCAGGAGAACATGGACCAGTGGACTCACTCCTTCACTGTATCCAACAGATCAGTGAGTGGATGCAAAACAACTTCCTTCAGCTAAACGCAGACAAAACTGAAATGATTGTCTTTGGTCCCCAGAAACAAAGAGAGAGCGTCATCTGTCACCTCCAGTCTCTCTCCCTAAAACCTTCAAACAAGGTCAGAAATCTAGGGGTAATACTGGACTCAGACTTAAATTTTAATAGCCACATCAAATCAGTAACATCAGCAGCTTTTTACCATCTAAAAAACATTGCCAGGATCAAAAACATAGTGTCTAAAGCAGACTTGGAGATTCTTATCCATGCATTTGTCTCCAGTAGGTTAGACTACTGCAATGGCCTGCTCACAGGTCTGTCCAAACAGGCTGTAAAACAGCTGCAGTACATTCAAAATGCAGCAGCTCGAGTCCTGACTAGAACCAGGAAGTACGACCACATTAGTCCGGTCCTCAGGTCTCTGCACTGGCTTCCTGTGGCTCAGAGAATAGACTTTAAAACAGCTCTGCTTGTGTACAAGTCTCTCCATGGCCTCGCACCAAAATATATTAGTGACATGTTAGTCCCATATGAACCAGCCCGGACTCTGAGGAGCACAGGGACTGGATTCCTGTTAGTGCCCAGAGTCAGAACTAAACATGGGGAGGCTGCTTTTCAGATTCATGCTGCGAAAATCTGGAACAATCTTCCTGAAGATGTGAGACAGGCCTCCTCTCTGACAATGTTTAAAACCAGGTTAAAAACGGTTCTGTTTAGCTGTGCATACAACTGAGGGATTTTATGTTTTTTATCTTTCTTTTTAATGTACTGTGATTATTTATGATTTTAATGCTTTCTTGTTTTGTTCAGCACTTTGAGTTACCTTGTGTATGAATTGTGCTATACAAATAAACTTGCCTTGCCTAGCAGTAGCAGTAGTAGTAGTAGTAGTAGTAGTGGCAGCAGCATTAGTAGTAGTGGTAGTGGTAGTAGTAGCAGCAGTAGTAGTAGTAGTAGTGGTAGTAGTAGTAGTAGTAGTAGTAATGGTAGTAGTAGTGGTAGTAGTAATATTAGTAGTGGTAGTAGTATGGCAGCAGTAGTAGTAGTAGTAGTAGAAGTAGTAGTAGTAGTAGTATGGTAGTAGTAGTAGTAGTAGTTTGGCAGTAGTAGTAGTAGAAGTAGTGGCAGTAGTAGTGGCAGTAGTAGTAGTAGTAATATTAGTAGTGGTAGTAGTATGGCAGTAGTAGTAGTATGGCAGTAGTAGTAGTAGTAGTAGTAGTAGTAGAAGTAGTGGCAGTAGTATGGCAGTAGCAGTAATAGTAGTAGTAGTAGTAGTGGCAGTAGTAGTAGTATGGCAGTAGTAGTGGTAGTAGAAACGGTCGAAGTAGTAGTAGTAGTAGTAGTGGCAGTAGTATGGCAGTAGTAGTAGTAGTAGTAGTAGTAGTAGAAGTAGTGGCAGTAGTATGGCAGTAGCAGTAATAGTAGTAGTAGTAGTAGTGGCAGTAGTAGTAGTATGGCAGTAGTAGTGGTAGTAGAAACGGTCGAAGTAGTAGTAGTAGTAGTAGTGGCAGTAGTATGGCAGTAGTAGCAGTAGTAGTAGTAGTCATTTTCATCTGTAGTGCAGTACCTCATGGGAAAATACTTCCCAATGCTACACAACTGTGTTCAGTTAAAACAGGATCAAACTAATTTTGGTCGAGGCCAAACTTAAAAACAGGTTGGGGCCAGAAGTATAAACTGTTTTATTTTATTTATTTATTTTTAACATATTTTTGCCTCATCTGAACTGTTTTTGTCATGAGTTTGGATGTTACTTTCTCAAATATCAATATCAATAACAGATGTATTTGAAGGCTGAAAATAATCATAATAATACTAATGAAGTAACTATAACTTAATTACACTTTAGAGTCAGAACAGATACATATATATGGCTTTATTTTTATAATTATATTTCCCTGAGACTTTAAAATGAAGTACAACATGCCATAGTCTCCGCTTCAATGCTGTAAGTTACTGTGATAATTGAAAACCATTGAAGGGGCCGCTAACTACTGTCTCGTGGACCGCATTTGGCTCCTGGGCCTGAGGTTGACACGCCTGTAATAAACCATACAGCTCTTTGGAATTCCCACTTTTTATTTTGATCTTTTTTTCAGACAAATCGTTGGCCTCTTCCTCCGAACATAATCCACAGAGATGTAGACGACGGTCGTGAGATCCAACATATTTCCTCACGTCGAGATTTAAAGTCAGATCCGTAAAATGTTCTCCTCTGACCACAGCCTACACCCCTCCTCTGCTGCCGTTATACTTTTAAGTGCTCTGGACTGATTTAGTGCCACGCAGGCCGGGGACGTCACACAAACTGGGAAGAGCTATAAATAATGCTTTGTCCGACCAAAAAAAACAGCCATTGTGTGAATCCGAACAGGACCTGAACAACCGGGTCATGGAATAATGGGAATTGTATGTGTTTCAATGTGTTTCAAAAATGTGTCTAGTTCAATGTTGTTTGCCTCCGAAGGGAAAAACTTTAGTCTCTTCTGCCCAGGGGTCCACAGAGGTCCTGGTTTAAGTGTCAGGACCAAATCCAGTTCATATAACGGAGAGGGAGTTTATGATTTATGCTTTTCACTTGCTGTGGTGGGTTTCATGGCGTGATGATGGGACCTGAACCCGGCCTCTGTGACCTGCACCTGTGGACTGGTCGGCCCTGGTCTGGACCCGTGGGTTGCATCCCTTCTCCCTGCCTTGAGCCTGTTCAGTCTGGCAACCGCACAGAATGGATCTACAGTCTCGGTCCTGGATCTACAGCCTCAGTCCCGGATCGATAGCTTCAGTACTGGATCTACAGCCTCAGTCCTGGTTCTACAGTCTCGGTCCTGGATCTACAGCCTCAGTCCTAGATCTACAGTCTCAGTCCTGGACCTACAGTCTCAGTCCTGGATCTATAGCTTCAGTCCTAGATCTACAGCCTCAGTCCTGGATCTACAGCCTCAGTCCTGGATCTACAGCTTAATACCTGGATTTACAGCCTCAGTCCTGGATCTACACTTAAGTCCTGGTTCTACAGCCTCAGCACTGG